TTAACAGCGCTGCTGTCTGTAAGAATAATGGCGCCAAATTTTAAAGGTATGAAAATAAAATCTGTTTTAAATTAAGAATTAAAATATATTCTACAATTTTTTCTATTTTTCTATTTATTTTTAATTCATTTTGTAAAAGTGAAAATTAGATTAAACATTTTCAGTCGCTGTCATTATATTAAAATTAAAATCTTAAACTGCAATATAATCAAATTATATATTTAATATATTTGATTTCAATTGGGACCATTTTGAAGTTGTGCACTAATTAATTTTCATAACGAATTAAAAAAATGAGTCGAGTTGTTTTTTTTTAAGTACTCGTTGGCAGTATCTATAGTACCAGTAGTCAATTTCTGATGATTATGTTAAATTTAATATGATTATGTTAAATATACACGTAGTTACGGACATTTGTCGGACGTGCAGAAAATTTAATACTCGCGGTATATATTGGACACTTACTGCTCGTATATATATATATATATATATATATATATACTTATATATATATATATAAGAGAAAGTGGTCTTTCATCTCTAGAGCGCGATTTCTTCATCTATAGATATAACTTTATTGAATTCAGAATCTCTCACGGGCTGAATCATAAAACATAATCATTAGAAGACATTGACTTTATTATGCCGCGCTAAACATCTTTCATTTTCATATATATATATATATATATATAGATTCGACACATTTCTAAATTAATAATTACACATGTAGCAGCTAATACATATATATTAAATTCATGCGAGACAATATTTTTGCCAATGGAAATTAATAGAAAAGAAATTTCTGATTTTACATTAAAATCTCTCGTAATTTACATGAGAAAAGCAAATTTTGCTCGAGTGAAATTTTATAAATATTATTATAAACTCGTTTCATTTTATAAAAAGTTTTTAATGCGATAAAAAAAATATTTATATATATACTTAATTTATAAATGAATTATATTTCTTTTTTTAGAAATTTTTTCAAGTTTCTAAAAAAAAAAACATTTCCTTTAATTCTTCTATTGTTAATATGGTATATAGTTTATACGTATGTAAATTATAATGAAATGCAAATTTGTAAGAAATTATTTAAATGAAGTTTAGACGAGTTTTTGCATATATTTATTTATGTGTTGAAATTAATATGATATTCCCTTGGTGGGTAATTGAAATCATATGAATCATTGCTCTTTCATTCAGGAAAATTTACATTCAGAATAAAATTTCTTTCTATTAATAGTTTATATATATATATATATATATATATGTTACTCACATTTATTTGCACTGCAAATTTTCTATTTCTAATGATAAAAATTTATTTCTTACTTGTTTCTTATTCAAAATAGTATAATAATAAAATGAGCTTTGAATAAAAAAAATTTTTGTTTTTAAAGGATAACGTGAGAGGCTAAACAAAAATTGTTTTCGGAAAAGAAATGAGTTAAACTATTCTTTCCGTTATTTTTCTTTTCAAATTAAGAGTAAAATTTACCTTAAAAGGAAAAATTCTTTTCTGGAAAAAATAATGTGATAAACTTAAAGGAAAATCTTAATTCAAGAGGAAAATGGAAATTTAAGTTTTCTGATAATTTTCCTCTTAAAATAAGAATAAATACGGGTTTTAAAGAAAATTCTTGTTTTCAGAGGATAACCAAAGAGGTTTAACAGATACTATAAATTTAAAAGGAAAACATAAAATTGCCATTTCTGCTAGTTTTCCACTCAAAATAAGAGTACACCATCGTTAATAGGAAAAATTCTTATTTTAAGATGATAATATTAATGACTAAGCGGAAACTCATCATTGAAGAGGAAAATTATATAAATTCAGTTTTCAGTTACTTTTCTTCTCAAAATAAGAATAAATCCGCGTTTAAAAGAAAATTCTTATTGTTTTAAGATTTACCTGAGGAGCTAAATGCAAACTCATAATCGAAGTTAAAAACGCTTAAATACATTTTCTGATATACTTTTTCTCTCAAAATAAAACTACATCCGCGTTTAAAATTAAATTCTTGTTTTTAGAGAAAAAAGTGAAAGGTTAAACAGAAACTCTAAATTTATAAGGATAACGTAAAAATATCTTTTTTTCTATTTTTCCTCTCAAGAAAAGAGTATAGCCAATGTTGACAAGGAAAATTTTGATTTTAAGAGAGTTGCCTGAAAGGCTAAACGCAAACTCTTAATATCGAAATTGAAAACGCTAAACTAAGTTGTCCGGTATTTTTCCTCTCAAATTAAGAATAAATCCAAGTTTTAGAGAGAAAATTCTTATTATCAGAGGATAATCTGAAGGATGAAATAGAAATTCTTTAGCGAAGAGGAAAACGCTTAACTAAGTTTTATAAAAAATTTTCCTCTCAAAGTAAGAGTAATCCTGTTTTTAATAGAAAAAATTTCCGTTTTGAGAAAATAACGTGAAAGGCTAAGTGGAATTTTCTAATAGAGAAGAAAAATTCTAATTTAAGTTTTCAGTAAATTTTACTTTCAAAATAAGAGTAAATTCGCGTTTAAAAGAAAAGTCTTGTTTTCAGAGGATGACTTGAGTGGTTAAACATATCCTCTAAATTAAAAAGAAAAACTTCCTTTTCTGCTATTTTTCCTCTCAAAATAAGAGTAAACCTGTCGTTAATAGGAAAAAGTTTTATTTTAAGAGGAAATAATGTAATAATTCTTGTTTTGATAAAATAATAATCTGATAACAGGGGGAAAAATAACTCTTAATCGAAGAGGAAAATGCTATTCCTTTTCTTCACAAGGTTTAAAAAAAAAAGAATCAAATGTGAGGAGTACACTGAAAAAAGGGTTTGGTACAAACGTTTGGTTGGTATTTAAGCAACCAAAATTTTTGCTGTCCCAATCAAACTTTAGTTAGGACAACAAAAATCATTTTTTTCTAATTTTGGTGGTGTGAAACAAGTTTTGATTGAGACAATTAAAATTTTGTTGATTCAACAAAAAAATTTTGGTTGCTTAAATACCAACCAATTCCTTTTTTCAGTGTATACGCAAAAAAAATCTTCACCTGGAACAACAATATGTTTCACTAAAACAGCGAAAGTTTTCGCTATTCTAGAGAAATATATCGCTGTTTCAGAGAAACTTATCGCTGTTCAAGGTGAAGATTTTTTCGCGTGAATATTCTCGTTTTGAGAAGATTATTTTGGAAGCTTTCAAAAAGTGTAATATTCCTCTTAATATGCGATTTTTCTTATTGTGTTTGCAATGGCTATATATTGAAAGATGCGGGAGTTTATTTAATGAACAAAAGACTTTTAGAAAGAGGGAGAGAGAATGAATTTCCAAATGAAAATTTGCTTACTTTATGTGCGGTAAATTAAGGTATCCATACGATACTATAGAAGAGCGATAAAATGGCTCTGCGGCGTAAGATTATACAGAGAGAGAGAGAGATGATGAAACCAAATGAAACTGCAACGGAAACTCTTGAGAAGAAAGAACATGTTGCAGTTGTTAGTATATACTTGTAATTGCGCCTACGATTTGCGAAAAGGAGGTACACGACGCCATTTGATTTTCTCTCTATGTGTATGTCTTATTGGGAGAATGAACAAGAGCGCAATGAAAAGTTCAAATTGAAGACGATGCGTAGAAAGCAATCGATAGTTTTTACAATTTTCTGTTTTTATTTATTTATTTTTTTGTTTTGTTTCGTGAGAGATTTCTCAATTGATTTGCGTGATGTGTTGTCTCTCGGCGCTTGCCAGAACTAACACTTTATTATATAGCATCAATACACCCGCATGAAAGCTAACTAAACATAATACCGTTGTAATGGATGATGCAAATGAATTATTGCGACAATTATTTTCCCATGATGCTTATTTCTCCTGTCGAGGGAACTCCACCTTCAATGTTATTGATACTTTTCTCGTTTTGTCAATCAATGAGCTTTATTTCATTCATATATACATATATAGAAAAAGAGTTGCAAAGCTAAAATTATATGAAGCGAAAAATAATATTCTGAAATTTAGAATATATATTTGGCATCTGTTTTAGAATATTTTATACTTCAATTCAGTGTGTAATATTCTTAAAATTAGAATATATTCTTAGCATTTAGAATACATACTATGTACCAAGAAAATATTTGTCATAATTCTCGTCAACTACCGCACCCTGCTCTAGTGAAAATTTAGTGACTTTATTGTTAAAATTAAAAGTTACTATAATGTCACTACATTTTCACTAGAGCAGGTTGCGGTAGTTGACGAGAATTATGACAAATGGCGAATGGGGATAATGGAAACCAAACATTTTGAAATCAAAAATGTTGCTAGTGAAAGTATATTTTTTTTTATTATCAAAAATAGTAATAAATTTTCAAAAAAGATTTGTATCTAAATTAAAAATTTTTTTGTCACTAAAAATTTTAATTTTTATTATATAAATGTTGAAAAACATTTCATATGGAAATTTATGAAAATATTTGTGAATATAGTAAAGGTACAAAATATGTCTCAAAATTTATAATTGTCAAATAATAATTTAATCACTTGAAGCATATGCCCAGTGAATACAGTGTGACAACCAAAATCGAGATTTAATAAAATGAGAAATTTAAGGGTTCGACTCGTCCGGGAGGCACAATTTTCACAAAGAAAATTCCCACGTGGTTCCAAACATGTGGGTGCATCTACAGCAGCAGCAACAATGAGCGATTCCGCAGGCAAGCAAGTTTAAAATGAACGAGAAGAGTAATGTCGACTGAACTTACCAAGAAATGACGCTATTGTTGTAGTTGAATAGACAAATTGACCTGCTATCCGTGGTATGGAAATTATCCAAGAGAATGCACACAACTAAGCCACAATATTAATTAAACAGAATATATATTTATTAATTTTGAAATAGTCCAATCTCTACAATACACAAACTAAAGAGTTAAATTATAAACCGCGATATAATATGTGTTTCGTGCGACGGATCGCTTCGCTCTGGTCCTTTTTTTGGCGACGACAAAAACGTGGTTTTTTCGTCTGCTCGAAATGCGGTTGACTTACGCCGTCTGGCGGATTATTTTTGCATATACCGCGGGACCATTTAAATTTTGGGGAACTGTTGGTAACGACCATATTTAATAAAATAAAATGAAAAACGATTCTTTTCATGATCGTTACAACTCCCCCCTTCTAAATTGTCGTTACTAACAGTTCAACTGTTCAGCCGATCATCTCTAGTAGATGACGATCTCGTCTCATACCCACTTGCCTGTATGAAATGAAAAATGGTAATTTGAAACATTGTTAAACATTAGTAATAAAAACAAGTGAAAATAATAGAAATAACGGGAATCGCTCATAGCTGCTTGTACGCGACTAATCAGTTACTAGAGAAGCTTAGTTGTGTGTGTAATATAACGCCTGAAAGAAGGATATAAAAGTCAGAGGCAGAAGATCTCATTTTAATTATTTTATTTATACAAAACAGTAGAAAAATATAGACTTTCTTTGGTCTAACTAGTTACTTGTTTAAGTAGTATACACTAGAACGAATAAGAAAAAAAAATTTTTTTTTTTTTTTTTTTTTTTTTTTTTAACTGTTTGTCAATAATATTCAAAACATAAAAAGTAAATTAAAAATAGAAAAGGTTCTTCGTAGCGCAACGGCGCAGAAATATAGTGTCTAACATTGAGGTAGATAATTGAATAGCGCAACGGCGCGGAAATATAACAATTAGCATATAGAAATGAAATGATGAACAGCGCAACGGCGCGAAGATAAATTTGAAAAATTTTAAACAAAATATAGAAAAGTGTTTTTTTTTTTTTGAGTTCGACGAATGAACAGACCGCGGATCACAGATCATTTTTTTTTTCCTTCTTGATCCCAAGATGAATCACTTCGGTGAGTGTTTCCCAATATTCCGCGTTGTCGTTGTCGGAGTCGAATGGGGATAGGGCTGACCTTGGGGATTCCTCTGAGGTCTCTTTAGTACGGACCTCGGCCTTGAGCGTTTCGCTGACAGTTACAGCGTCCGATTTATCTGGCAGTTTTACAACCGCGGTTTCTATGGAAAGAGGTCCTTTGGATGGAGCTGGTAGCGCTTTCTGTTTTTTTATGGCACCTTGGCTACTGGATGGTTGTGGATTGTTATGAGCTTTTGGGACTGGTCTGCTCTCCAATTCCTGGGCAGTCTTATTCCGCGCGAAGGTGTTAGAAGAGATTAAACGTCTTCTACACTCGTAACAATTGACGTCAGGCAAGTTTCGCGGTCTCCAGCAATGCTTGCATCGGTTACTTTCCGGAACCTGGTATCTGACCATGGCATAATGGGGCCATGGGCAGTCTGCCGTGGAGAACCCTTCGATGGCGCACTTTTGGCAGTACTTCCCTGTGTACGGCTGCTTGCACAATCTGAAACTGTGACCCTGTTGACCGCAGTTTAGGCACCCCTCGGATGCTTTCGGGCGTAGTCTCGGCTCCCGTAGTTCCGCCTGGGCAAGGAAGACTTCCGACATCTTTTTGGAAAAGAGCTCTTTGAATCTCTTATTCAGTATTTCGACCGCGGTATAATCGTTGGATAGACTTTTGTAGTCGTAATCGTACGACTCAAGGTCCGCCTTCATTGATTTGTTCTCTACCTTGTATTCGGCCAACTCCTTCTGGGCTGCAACTAGGGAGTTAGATAATTCGCGCTCCCTTTGTACGGAATCGAGCAGCTTGCGATATAAGTCAGTAATATCGCTCGATGTATTGTCTCGACTCTGTGTTGCCTTACCCGCGTCGACCTGACGGCGTAACGAACGGATTGTATCACTTTGTTCTGCGACTGTTTTCATTAGGGCTTGCTGTTTTGAAAGTAGCCCCTCGAAATGTTCACGCCTCAAGGCTACCAGGCCAGAGGTTTCCACCGAAATGTCTAGTGGTGTATCCCCTCTTTGGGAAGGATCTGAAACATCATTCAGGCACAGGATTGGTATGTCCGTGTTGTTGATGCTGCCGGCGTACGAACTGCATGGAGTCGACATGTTAACCGATCTGGAAGAAATTTACATTATGTTTCGCGATCGAAGGTTCTTTCGTGCTGGTTTAAGATCGTTGACATGATATTTGCCAATTTTCATGCCTTGTTTATCGCCAATGACGACTACCATGGGTGATAATTTTTCTATTATCACGGCTGGCCCTTTGTAACGCGGTGCCAGTTTGGAGCTATAATTACGAGCAGCGTTGGACAAGACATTGTTAGGGTAAAATACGAAATCTCCAAGCGCAAAACCTACTGGGACTTTTCGATTTTTATTATAATTCTTACCGTGTCTCTTATCAGCTTTGGTCATTTCTACCTCGATTTTCGCACGGAGTGCCTCTATATGTTTTGCTCGTTCGAGCCAATCGTTAGAAGTTTCGTCTGTAGTCATTAAGTCATCGTTAACGTCGGGTGATTGTTTACCGGTGCGTCTTAGCTCACGGAGGTGGTTAAAGTACGCGGGTGATACTCCTAACGAAGAGTGTACAGTATTATTATAAGCGAATTGTATCTCTTCTAAGAGAATATCCCATTCGCGGTGATCAGTGCCTAGAAGGCTGGCAATCATTGTTTTTAAATTGCGGTTTACGCGTTCTACTGGATTTGATTGCGGGTGGTATACCGGGGTTGTACGTTGCTCGGAACCGACTTTACGCATAAAATTTGTGATATTGCGGTTGACGAATTCCGTCCCGTTATCGGTTATAAAAATTCGCGGAGTTCCCCATCGATTTACGAGGGTGTTTAGAGCTCTGACGATTTTTGGTCCATCCGCTTTGGGCAGTGGAAAGCAATCTATAAACCGGGTATACGTATCTTCGCAAACTAGTACGTAGCGTTTACCGGATTTTGACCGTGGGAGGGGGCCCATGATGTCGAGGGACACGATTTCCCATGGTTCTTTCAGTTTCCGCGGATACATTAAACCTTGCGGAGGTGTATTCTTAGGTTTGCATTTGAGACATATTTCGCATTCATTAATGTACCGTTTTATATCCTCACGCATACCGGGCCAATAGTGTAGGTTAAGTATCGCATGATACGTTTTACTAATTCCCTGGTGTGCCGATTGCGGAGAATCGTGGTATTCTTTTATTATTGGGATAATCTCGTCTTCTTTTAATACTTTTTTCCACGCGTTATTGTCACCGATACTTTCTTTGATTAGATTAGGCTTATAGTAATACAGTGTATTACTTGAGTCGAGTCTATATCTTTCGTACCGTGTGGGTGTGGTTTGTACGCGTTCTACCATTTCTTCATACCATGATTTGCTGCGGACTAAGTTTGACTGCGCTAGGGGCGTGTCTTCCGAGATATTTTCGTAAAGACGAGAGAGTGTGTCCGGAGCTTCGTTCGTGGTACCTTTACGGTGTTCAATTTTAACCTGATTGGCGGATAGCTCTAAAGCCCACCGCGCAAGTCTACCTCGAGGATCTTTGACTCCTTGTAGCCAAATTAAGCTAGAGTGATCGGTTATCACCGTGAACTCTGTGGCTTCAAGATAGCAGCGGAGTTTCTTAACCGCGAAAATTACGGCTAAGCATTCCTTTTCGGTGGTGGTATAATTCAATTCCGCACCCCTTAAAGGTCTGCTTAAGCACGTGATAAGGTATTCGTGGTCTCCGTCTTTTTGTGTTAAAATTGCACCGATGCCAGTATCGCTTGCATCTGTGTAAAGGAAGAAAGGTAATTCGGGTCGCGGTGCGACTAAGGTTAAAGCATTTTTTAGAGAATTCTTAACTTCTTGAAATGATTTCTCGTGTTCCACGGTCCAATTCCAGGGTACTTTCGGGCTAGCTAATTTATTTAGTGGCCCTTGCACCTTTGCAATATTGCGTAAGTGTCGGTGGTACCAATTTACGGAACCGTTGAATTGCCGTAATTCTTTACGGTTCCGCGGAGTCGGGCGCTCGAGAATCGGTTCTATCCGTTTTGGGTTCGGTTTGAGGCCATCTTTATCTAAAAGAAATCCTAGATATTCGACGGAGGACTTCGCGAAATGAGATTTCTCTCTGTTAATCGAGAGTCCAGCATCCTGTAAGATATTGAGCACTATGTCCAATAACAGGGTATGCTCCTCAAATGTCCGCGAGATGATTATCCAATCATCTAAATATGCGTGAACCTGGTCGATGAACCTTTCCGGTAAATGGTTATCGCGGATATGTTTGATAAATTTTTCTTTAAGACGGTCGGTCAATGCTTGAAAGGTGGCCGGTGCATTGGTAAGACCAAAGGGCATCCGGACCCATTCGAATTGACCGCGTCCTGGCACTACAAAGCCTGTATATTCTTGTGAATCCGGGTGTATCGGAATATGGTGGAATGCGTCTGTGAGGTCTATAGTACTAATTATATTTGCCTCAGAGAGAGCATCCAAAATTGTATCCATACGTGGTAACGGATATGCTGATTTTTTTGTATTTTTATTTAATTTACGGTAGTCCATACAGACTCTGGGTCTACCGTCTTTACGATATGTTAATACGACCGGACTGGCAAAGCGACCATTACTTTTCTTTATAAATTTTTTTTCTAAATATTTGTCAATTTGGTCGTTAATAATTTTATTTGCTTCCGCGCTACGTCGGTACGGTTTTAACTTAAACGGTGTTGGATCGATTAATTCGATAACATGTGTTGTTAAATCGGTAACTCCGGTAGACGCGGTGAAATTAGATAATTTTTTGTTTATAAATTCATCGAGAGTTTTCCGTTGTTCATTCGTTAATTCGATTAATTGAACTGAATTTAGGCCGCTGTACGAACAAGAGGTTGGACCTATGGGGCTTTGTACTTTAGACCCATTGATGGACCAATTACCGCGGGTGGTGTCTATAACGACCTTCCACGTGGTTATGAGGTCCATTCCGAGAATTATGGGGGTTGTGAGTCCATCGAGGACTGTAAACCAAAATTCGCCGGTACAATCATTTATTTGAATGTTAAATTTCGCGGAACAACGGGGGGCGGCCACGTGATCGCGTTGGGCGAGCTGGACGCCGGCGCGCGTTATTTCGTCGAGAACTGGTTCACCTCTCGTGAATTCTTTTAATTGGTCATATAATTCTCCAGACATGAAGGTGCGATCGCTACCTGTGTCGAGAAGACCTTTATATTCTTTACCGCCTATTTTTATCAATGTAGTGATATTATTACGCGTTTGAGACGGAAAGGGCAATGCCGGCCCTTTGTATACGAGGCGCTTGTATTTACCAGTCGCGGCTAATATGCCTATTGCTGGCTTACTCAAGGGTAGAGACGTGAGCGAGGATATGCCTGCTCCAGCTGACTGTGTTGAGTCAGGGGAGGGGGATTCGACGCTTGAGTCTGTGTACTCCGTTTCAGAATCAGAGTAATTTTCAAGGTCATAGCTGCTTTCAGAGTCACTAGTATATTCCCAACCCGCATACGCTTGATTAAGCGTTAATGCATTTCGGGGAATATGCTTTGGATTCCGAGCAGTGTGACTGTTACTCGGAATTGCGTTTATGTCAACTGTATCGTGGTTAGATGGATTGTTAATTCTAATCAAATTTTTGTCCGTATTTATTTGTCCGTATTTATCGTTATCGTTAATTGATTTTTCGCCAGGGAGATCTATTCTCTCCTGGCATCCTTGTCGTTTTTTGACGATGAGTTAGGCGAGTTTTGACCGAATGGTGGAAAATCGTGGCTGTAATTGCCATACCATTGTTGCTCATAAGGACTCGGGGGTAAATGTGGCCCTGGAGGGGGATGCATCCCGTGAGTGTTACCTTGACAATTTGGTTGGTAATTAGGCGGAAATTGCGGATGGTTCTGGTAATAACCGTTGTTATGGTAGTAACCTCGACCATAACCATTCCAATTACCGCCACGACCGCGGTTATTATAACCACCCCTGCCGCGATAGTTATTGTAGCGACCGTCTTTCTTATGTGACTTATCGTCACGGTCCCTACCTTTACGTGCGGACGATCTACGTGTCTCCCCCCCTCTTTGCGACGAAGCAGAGCGAGAGGAGCGTGAAGATTCAGAAGTAGAGCGTCGGCGCGATCTACGGGTTGGCGGTGGGGTAGAGGGGGTCTGCTTTTTGTTTTTTTCGCTGTCGGGTTTTGAATTATCATTATTTGTTTTTTCGCCGTATATTTTTTGTTTAAGTGTATTAAATTGTTTTTTGTAAATTTCTATTTTATTTAAGTTAGTTTCCGGTTGGCTTTTTGTTACCTTTTTGTTTGCATTTTGTTTTGGTTTATTTTCTTTTTTAGATTCCGGAGACGCGGGGGGTTGTGGTTCCTGATCAGCAGGTGGCGATTGAGTTTCAATCGCATTTAACTGATTTTTACCGCGTGTATTACGAGGTTTTTTGGAATCGATTTCTCTTAATTTATTTGCAATTTGCATAGTTGCAATTTTCTCCGCGTATTTCCGAATTTTATCTATAAGACCGTCGTAAGTGGTGAAACTATCGCGGTCGAATTGTAAGATCAATTCGGAGTGGAGAGCAGAATAAATTTTATCGAGTTGATTTTTCTCTGGGATTTTTTCCTGTAATTTATTATACAGTGCGCTTACTCGGATGACGAACTCTATACCGGTTTCATTTTCTTGTTGAACCGCGCGTTGAATTTTATTGGTTAATTGTTGGTCGTCATTTGCGTCACTGAAGGTTTTCCGGAATTTGGCTGAGAATTCAGCCCACGTTCGCCAAGTCGTTCGGAAGGTCGCGAACCAAGTATACGCGGTGTCTGAGAAGACTTGCGATAACGTTGCTAACGCGTCATCTGGGTTAATGGCGGATGCGGTTAGTTTTTGTTCGAATTCATTCAAGAATTCGTCAGCATCCAGTTTGCCAGGGAATTTCAGTTCCCAAGATTTAATAATCTTATGTAAATTGGGTACTGTATTCCTGGGGGCTGGTTGGGGTGGGGCAATGGTGTTAACCGGTGGTGCCCGTGGTGGTTGTATAACCGCGGGGACAAACGATGTAGATGTTTGTCCCAAATAATTTGGCTGATTGTCGAATCGGATGGTACGAGAGGGGAAAGATGTTCCAAGAGAAGGGGTATCGAAGTTCAGTAGGGAGGGGCTGGTTGTTGTAACTGGTCTTGTACCCGACGCTGTGCTTGTTGTTGGGCGCGTTGTTGTTACCGTGGTTGTTGGTATGGTGGGGGGTAGTGACGTAAGTTGCGGAGGGCCTCCTCCGGAAGAAAGATACGGCCTATCAATGGATTCCCATCGTGAATCATGCCAGGGAGATTGCGCTTGTCTTGTCTGTAAATCGAAAAATTTTTGCGCGAGTTCATTTATCGCGGTGGTCGTTTCTTTTCTTAACGAATTTAATTCTCGACGGTTTTCCGTTTGTGACAATAATGTTTGCTGCCTTGATTCTTCAAGATGTCGTTCGAACATTTGTTGCATATGTGCTTTAAATTGATTGTTTTGGTTAATTTGATTTGTATTAGATATTTCTAATTGTTGGAAAACTTGTTTTATTTGGGTGTGACTAACTGGGGTTTTTTTTGATTTTGACGGTCTACCGCGGCGTGCTGTGAACAATATTTTAGAGATAGTTCCAGTATTGGGAGGGGCGAGAAGGGAACCTGAAGCGCTTTGCAATGTTTCGGCAGAGGTGATTGGCGCTGTTGAAAAAGCGCCTTGTGTTTCACCGGGCACATTGTTAGGCGAAGGAAGGGCCGCAGCGTCGCCCTCTTGGTTCTCTTGTAAGGAAGAACCTTGACTTGTTTCCTGGTGAGGGGGTGTTCGATACATTTTGTTTTTTGATTGAATTTGAGAGCGTGTTAGAGGTCTATCGTTAGTCGTTTTTCTGTTGTCTTTTTTTGTCATGTCTACTATTATTTTTTATTTTCTTGTTTTGAGTTCATTTTTTTTTTTTTTTTTTTAATTAAAATTTTTGTTTTTATTAATTGGAAATTACGCGGGTAGCCGCGGTAAATTTGTAGACGTTGTTTATTGTGAGAGAAAAGTATAATTATGTAAGATAAGTTTTTGATTTAATTTATATTATTTAAAAAAAAATCAATTGAGAGGTACGCGGAAAATTGTGGTAGATGACTAGACAACAAAAAAAATTTTCGCGAAATTCAGGAAAAAGAAATTTTTCCTTTATGCCGGTAATCGTGGTAGATTCGCAGAAAAGGAGAAAATTCTTCTCTTAGTTATTTTCCTTCTTCGTTTCTATCCTTTCATGGATAAAGGGAGGGGGGAAAAGGAAAAAAAAGGAATTTTGCGTTTTATTTAATTAAATTAAATTTTATTCTCAAATTTTCATTATTTATTTTATTTGATTAAAAAAAAATTTTTATGAAAGATTTTTATTTTAATTTATTAAAATTCAAATATTTTTAAATAATGAAAAAATATTTGAGGAATTATATTGGAAAAGACGACTTGTGATAAGAGACAGGGCCAAGTTACTAATGTAAACACAGCTGTGTTTTGGACCTGGAGATTCGCTCTATGTAGTGGCTTGTGTGCCACTATAGTGTAAAGAAAAAAAAAAAATTTTTTTTAAACGCGGATATCACCCATAGTAGACAAAATTGTCGATAAATTTTATATTGGTTAATAAATATTTCAATTTTTATATTAATAATAATAATAAAAGCAGAAGCAAGCTAGCATAATGTTAGGCAAAAGCAATTAGGCATGATTATTTTTTCGAATATAGCCGTGAGAGCGAAAGCGATTGTACATAGTATATAAAGGAAAATTTTCGTAGATTATATACGTATAAGCGTTAAAAGCACTTTTGGTGTAGGAACCTTCTTTGTGATTCGGTAATGTAAAAAAGAAAAATTACGTTGGGCGCCATAAATGTGACAACCAAAATCGAGATTTAATAAAATGAGAAATTTAAGGGTTCGACTCGTCCGGGAGGCACAATTTTCACAAAGAAAATTCCCACGTGGTTCCAAACATGTGGGTGCATCTACAGCAGCAGCAACAATGAGCGATTCCGCAGGCAAGCAAGTTTGAAATGAACGAGAAGAGTAATGTCGACTGAACTTACCAAGAAATGACGCTATTGTTGTAGTTGAATAGACAAATTGACCTGCTATCCGTGGTATGGAAATTATCCAAGAGAATGCACACAACTAAGCCACAATATTAATTAAACAGAATATATATTTATTAATTTTGAAATAGTCCAATCTCTACAATACACAAACTAAAGAGTTAAATTATAAACCGCGATATAATATGTGTTTCGTGCGACGGATCGCTTCGCTCTGGTCCTTTTTTTGGCGACGACAAAAACGTGGTTTTTTCGTCTGCTCGAAATGCGGTTGACTTACGCCGTCTGGCGGATTATTTTTGCATATACCGCGGGACCATTTAAATTTTGGGGAACTGTTGGTAACGACCATATTTAATAAAATAAAATGAAAAACGATTCTTTTCATGATCGTTACAACAGAAAACTACATTGTTCCAAGAGTTACATTATACATATATAATATATGTACTAAAAGAATCATAAAATCTATCATTACAAACTCTTTAGGTCGTTGCGCTTTGCAAAATCATTCCATAAATTATTATGAATAATTACGTCATTACGGAACATAATACTGCAAAATTACTTTATGTGGACACTGTAATTTCCTTTTTTTCGTTTGTCTTTTTAGTGCATTTTGTTTTTTGTTTTGCTTTCATTATATTTATTTTTTATTTTTTTTCAATATTAGAATTTGTTACCTACAGTGGGTGACCCATACAATTCCAACATATCGTTATAACATTAACGCTTTTGATTAGGCATTAAATTCTAAAAGTTTTTTTTTTTTTTTTGAAATTGTGTGTTCTTATGTGAACTTTTTAAAAATTTGATGCAAACAATGAGAGAAAAATAATTGACCGTCAACCGAGGTCGATAACATTTTTTAAAAACAGATTATTTTTTAATTTAATAATTGTTTCCATAATATAATTAAATTGTACTTTTAATTCACCAAATAAGTATAAAATATAATTTTTTTTATTTTAAAGCATGTAAAAATTTGTTGAACAAACTGCATTCTTGACTTACAACATCAGAATGTCTATATAGTAGTAGGCACCACATATATAATCGATTTAGTATATGTTATGTCATTTTACGTAAAACCAGGTGTCTTTTCCTTATTAGACAATCATTAGTTTTTCTCTCATTTCTCTTGAACACACACATATATATATATATATATATATATATATATATATATATAAATGTAATAATTGAAAGAAAAATTTCTGTACAACGGAATTTATATGTACTCACATGTACAAGAAGTAAAAATTCAAACCAAAAATTTTGAATTATTATTTTACAAAAAGTCGAATATTTTCAAAAAAAAAATTTTCAATTAGAAAAAAAAATTTCGCACTATTTTCCATAATGTTTTTTAATAGACGATAAATTTATCTATCTATATATATATATAGTTTATGTAAGATATTTTTATTCAAAATTATTGTAAAAAAAAATTTTTATATAAAAAAATATGCCGGATATTTCGATTATTTATGGGTTATTTACTTATTTGATATCTTTATTTTAGTATATATGTAACGAGAGTTTAATTATTCTTTGGTGTTATAACACCATATATATGGTTTTACTACATTTTAATTATTATAATAAAATTATTATGAACTTATCTTTTAATTGGGAGTTGTGTTGTTTAACGTGCTATTAATCACTATTAATAATGTAATTAATAATAATTATGGTAGTTTTTCAACTAGTTTTTAAATTTGAATCAGTAAAAATTTCACCGATAAAATAATATTAAAAATAAATAGTCAAAAATATATAAATAAATTTGAAATAATATTGAAATACAGAAAAAAATTAGATTAGTGTGAAATGTTTGGTTATGTTTATTTAATTGTAGTTTAAGATATTTTAAGTTTATTCTGTTGGCAACAAAATACAGACTATTTATATATGTTTAATCTGATTTTTATTTTTCCAAATTATAATGATTATGAAAAATAAAAATAAAAATTCAAGTAGAAAAACTCGAAACATTTCAATTTTTATAAGACAATGTTAATTTAATTAAATATTGTAATTTATTTATATTTTAAATTTGGCGCCATTAATCTGGATTTTTAAGACACACTCACACCTTTTTAGCTGCCTGCCTACTTGCAGGTTACCATGGCAACGCACGGGTGTGAGTGAGACAGAAAATTTGAATATTCAAATTTTCTGTCGCACTCTCATGCAGGTCAATAAAAAATCAGAATCAGTTTTTACTATTTATTTTGAAACCAGTTTTTTTTATTAAATATATTTAAAGAAGAAAATGAAAGCTTTTGGAAAACATTTATTCAATATTATATTAGAACAAGAATATTTTTGGAGGAATAAGAAACTAATTTTGTAGAAAAAGATTTTTAAAAAAATTGTTGCTATCGATGCGTGATTTTCTCTCACGCTGGAGTCAAGCATAAGGGATACTAAAAAAGAATATCTAATAGATTGTTTCCTTTCTCTTAACCCATTAAGTTCCAAGTCATGGAGATAATATAATGCTTTGTTGTACAAAGAATTGGTATTTCGTTGCACTTCCACGAATTCATGGACATTGAAAAACGGATTATTTACTTTTTTTTTTTTTTTTTAAGTTTCATGTAATTTCTTGTACTGTTTGTGAATGTGTATATGTGTGGGTTTTACTAACAAAATATAGTTATAACTACCATAAATATTGAAGCTATCATCGATTTGTTATTACTATTGGTCGTGATTTTGAAAGTTGATGAATATTATTATATTTAATGTTTTCATGATTAGATATGTTTTTTTGGAATTATCTATATTATTATCAGAAACTGAGATTTGTTTTAAGCACACAAATTTTGCTGTGAAAATAATTTATTTGAATTTCGATACTTTTGAAAAATAATTTATTTTAAATTTAATCTGCTTCTTTCACTAAACATAATCTCAAACTAAAAAATAATTTTTCACGTAAACAAAAATATTAGAAAAATTAACCCAAGTAGCACGTAATATTTGCAGTAATATTAAAATTGTCCGCCTCATGGTAATATTACCGGTAATATTACAGTAACATTACAGTAATCTTAACCGGTAATATTACCATGAGGCGAACATTTTAATATTACGTGCTACTTGGGAGAGTGCGCCCTTATGTTATTTGATTTGGCACATAATTCAAAAAATCACAAAGACTTTCAAGAAATCAAAGAAGATTTTAAATTAAATACATATCAAGATTTCTAGGATTAAAAATTACTTTATTCCCGTAAATTCATATTTAGAACAATTTTATTTTGATTCAAGGTCATAAAACTTGTATACACCAGTTTTTTTATAGTCCCTCGTGTCAATTCTACGTGAATTTATAATAAAAAGGACATTCAGAGAAATCATGAAAGTAAAATTAAAGCTTTCATTTATACGAGAGTGTAAAATATTTTTGAAATTTTTTTTTTTTTTTTTTACTAACTTGGAATTGCAAAATTATTTTACTACTTCTCTTGTTTATGTTTATTTGGAAATTGATATGCAGCAATGACTTGCGTATATAGAAGATAACTAGATGGAGGAAGGTTTCAATTTCCTGCACCGCCTTTTAAAGCAGACCTAGAAATTACTATATCTTGACTTTAAATGAATAAGAGGAAGGAAAGAAAAAGTACGATACACTCTTACTTTATAGTAATTCTGACGTAAATTGTAAACAGGATCGTAAAGAGTTAAATTGATCGAACATATAGAGTGCAATGAAGAAAAGAAAAATTCTATATGTGTGTAAACTTTTTTCTGCAATTATGATGCTAAAACATCTAAATCGTTCCCTTGGAATGTATAAGCAACAATTATAGATCTTTAGTAAAAGGAAAAAAAAAAAAATTATTTCGACGAAATAGAAGCCATTTGACCCTTACGGTGTTTAGTATTACTGACAGTGAACACCAGGAGCGCCACCTTCACATCACGTGACTATTTCACTAAAATTTAATTAGTGAATAACTATACTCATATTAAAAGAATTTTAATTATTTAAAGAATTTAATTATTCTATTATATAATATTAAATTATAATGTAATATAATTATTTAATGTATCAATTTTAATTCAATTATTTAATATAAAAATTTTAGTATAAACTTTTTTTTAATTTTCTCGAATAATTTTTTTTCCGCAAACAATAATTATTTTTTAATGAACGCGCTGATAATTTTGTGTTCGCATGTTTTTTTTGTGATAACACCTAAAACGTAAGAAGTAAAATCTAAGACGTATAGGACGTAAAACGTGAGACAATTTAATTCCTTTTATTTTATGCTCTCTAAAAAAAAGTTACGATGTTAATATAAAAATATGGCTAAATGCGTTACATATAGGATAAGGATGGCACGTGAAAAAATATTTTTTCTTTCTAAAAATTAAAAAAAAATTCACATCTAGATCTTTTTGCGATTTAAATAATTTAATACTAATTATCATTTTCGTATTATTATATTGTAATTTCAGCATAAACTATTTGAAAAAAAATGTCTATATATCTTTTGGATTGTCATCATTTTATATAAAGGAAGGTATCGAGTTTTAGTTATTAAGAATTTGATCCTGACAAGTAATGAAAAAATGGAAAAAAAAAATTGACTTAACGATTTTATTCAAGGTCAAGATCATCTGACATTGATAAACAGGTTTTCGATTTATTATAATATAGAATATAGAAAAAAATTATAAAACTGGGATCATTTTTCAATAAAATTGTTACAAAAAAAGGTGTGTCGTACATAATAACAATCAGCTTAAATACTATTTAGATAACGAATTATATAACAAGGAACATGTATACAATTTAAACATTTAAGGTATCTGACAATGTTGCATAAGGAATCATTTTTAAAACTTCCACATAATGATTTTATGACTTAAAATATATATTATGTAAAATATTTTCTCGATTTACATATATTGCGAATTATTTTTATTATTTATAAAACATTTATAATAAAAATAAAAAATAATTTAATTGCTAAGAAAAATTTATGTAACATTTATTAAAATTGAATTTATTTTTTTTTTATAACTACCATTATAATATTAGACTACAATTTTTATTATTTCTATTATAATTCACATAATTATATTAAAGAGAAATAATTAATATATTCTATAAATATATATATATTAAATGTTGTAGTTGCTCGGCGTTTGCTGAGACAGATTTTTAACATCAATAATAACTTTGTAATATTTTATAATAAAAAGTTTAATAATATATCAGTTAATTCCTACCTTTAAATAATCTCTATAATTTGGTTATATGATAATTTTAAAGTTACATATAGAATTTTAAATAAAAAATTCATGCTTTTCAAAATTTTTCAATTTTAGAATGTTAATAACTCTGAATAAAATAACAGTAGAATATTCGCTAATAGGTCAAAAGATGCGTCTTGATAAACTCGACAAAATTAAAGAAAAATGTCCATAGGTCTTGTAACATTTTTTTTAAGTTATGGGCAAAAAAAGATTTAAAAAAAAATTTTAAATACAAAAAAAGAATAGTTAATTTTTTATTAATATGGCTCAAAGTATTCTCATTATTTGTCCGTCGAGACCTACAATTTGAAAAAAAAATTATCCCTTTAGCTCTTATACACTGAAAAAAAAAATTAATTTGATTCAAATACTCGATTACTTGACTATTATTAAATAAATATTTACTTGAACTAAATAATTTTTATTTGAATTAAATAAATTGTATTTGAACCAATAATTTCTGTATTTAAAACATGTAAATACCATTTAATTGTTTCAAATAATAATTATTTGTTACAAAATAAATATATTTATTTGATAATAGTCAAGTAATCGAGTATTTGAATCAAATAAATTTTTTAAAAATGTGATTTTTACATTCCTGAGGTCGAAAAACATAAAGATACATTAAAAAATCAAGTTCGGAAAATTTTTCTATTACAACGTCAAAATTGTTACAATGGAAATAAAAGAAATAATTTCAATCATTATAGTTGAGAATAGTTTTAGATATATATTAAAAACGGTTCATTTCATTTCTAAGGAAAAAAAAAGAAAAACCATCAACAAATGATAACGAA